TCTTTAAAGAATCTTTGCGAGCTCCTGTGCATCCAGAGCACATGTAACCAATCCACTCCAGGCCTTTTCCTGCAGGTTGTCTGATCCAGTGTGTCCTGGTGCTCAAAGAATAAGAAACCTGACAGATGATGGTCAGAGGTTGACCTGGCTGAACAGTCAAAGCGGCTGGTTGTGTCAGCTGTTCACACTTCACATCTGTAGATGACAACATTAAATTAATCAAAGTGTAAAACCAGTAAGAGCATAGCATCAGCATAATGTGAGTATTTCTGAGAGACTCACAGGATCCAGCAGCCAGCAGCAGCAGCAAAGCTACAGAGAACATGTTGGTGGTGAAGGTGATCCAATGAGAGCTTCTCTGTGACTGACAGGATGAGATTATGTCATTTAAAGGATGTCATTTAATTTGCCTAATGACCAACCAGCCAATCATCAGTGCCTATTATATGCTCACAGCACAGTAGGAAAGTAGTAGGTTTTTTCAAACAGAATATCCCTTAGTTCATTTTTCTGAATGGATGTATAAAAGTGGCCCGTTTTGGTTGTTATATTTATATGCATGAGTTGTTTTATTCTTTTTTCCTTTTTATTTTACAATATTCCTGTCTTGCTCCTCTTCCTCTTATTACTAATGTATCATTCATGTTTTTCCTTGTTATAGAAAAAAAAATATTCACAAACAAATGTTAACATATTCATCAAATGTATTTTCTATGGCAGAATGCTTTGAATTTTTTTATGCTAAGCATCAAAATTATGTTACTGACATTGAATAAGACAAGGAAAAATATGAGGCAATATTGGATAGAAAAAAATTAAAGCTTGATGTACAAAACTTGAGGATCATTTCTAGCTTAATTGACATTTTCATTGATTTTAGATGTCTGAGACTGGTTGGGATTTAAACCCATAACCATGTGAGGAAACAGCAATAACACCATCATGCTGTCCTGTATAATGGACACATACATTAGCTTCATTTGACAACAAGCAGCCCCAGACATATAGTAAGAGTTTTAAATTCCAGAAAGTGTCCTGAAGAAGATGTTACTCTTTCTACATTTACTGATAATCCTGACGATGCTTTGGAAAACATATAAATGTTTAATCATCAGTTTAATGTTTGGATATGTTCCCGTATCGACCTCATTTCACGTCAAGTCGGAAATTATAATATTTTTTTAATGAGAAAATAGAAACTGATCTCCCTGACAATAAGTCAAATCTCACAGAGTATGGTTGTGCAAATTATGTGTGAATTTAGTTTGAATTAATATGAATTAACTGTTTAATTCAACAATAGCCAATGTTGATTGTCTCTATTTATTGTCCCACCTGAAGCCAAAATATAATTTACCAAAATCTAACAAAAACCTTCTTCTATATAAAAAGAAAAGTATATCATGAATTCAGCCTCAAATTAAATGAAGTGTTTCAATGACACATCTGATCTACGACTAAAGTTTATAATAAAACATTCTGTTAGACCAGCTGTTGACGGAGCTAAAAAACAGTAAATCACAAA